TAGGAATTCCAACCCAACTATCAACTCGAAGTCATCTATGATAACCACTCGCAGGTTGAATTTTCCTTCGTAAGGGCCAAGCTTCACTGGTACCTCTTTGGCTATTCCACCCACTGGCTGGGGAGGTGAGTTGCTAGCCTTGACACGGCCTCTACATTTCCCTACAATTAGACCAAGGCGCTCCACCTGAGTCGAGGCTAAGTAGTTGTGGGTAGCACCTGTGTCCATCATAGCCTGAATGGGCTTGCCATTCACCTTCATCTCAACGAACATTAAGGTCCTCTCTTGTTTAAGAGGAGTCTCCTCATCCGCCTTCTTTTTCCCTTTCTTGGTGACTGGACATGGGTCATTCTTATGGATACCAGCACTGGTCTCCGCTAATGCCTCAAAAATGGAGCCAACAATTGCATTGAAGGCACCTACTGGTTCAGTCTGAGTCGTCATCAGTCCATCATCAAAAGCCTGATGGGCATTATCTGTGCATGTGGGCACTCATTGTTCCAATGTGGTCTGCCGCAATGACGGCATCCTGAGGGAGGCTTTCTCCCCCGGTCATTGTTGTTTGACGCAGTAGTGTTGCTGCCTGAGGAGGGAGCCTTAGATTTGGTTAAGCTCTGATCTCCCCCACTTCTGCTAGGGCCACCATTGCTAGGCTGGCCCCCTTTGAATCCCGCTCGGGCAAGCGGCTGAGGCCTATCCTTCCGAGCTTCCATTTGATAGTCCCCAAGGCATTCAGCTGCTTGGATCGCCTTGGGCAGGGTAACTACCCTTTGTCTTTGTAGCTCCACAGGGCATAAGGTTTCAACCCTTCCAAGAAGGTAAAGAGCTTGTCTTTGTCCCCCATGTCGCGTATGTTTAGCATGAGCGTGGAGAATTCCCACACGTAGTCCCCCACTGATTTGGTCCCCCATTGTATTCAACATTTTCGGGGAAGAACTGTAGGCGTATGGCTGCCTTCAGTTCTGCCCATGTCTCGAGAGCATCTTCACCGGCCCTGATGGCTTCGTACTTCACCCACCACCAGAGTTTAGCATCACCCTGAAGATACATGGCAGCAGTTGCTACCTTCTTAGCTTCTTCCAGGCTTCCCACGGNTCAATAGCATCGAAATACTGTTCGACATCAAAGATGAAGTTCTCCACTTCCTTGGCATTCCTAGCTTCACTATATGGCTTTGGCTCAGGAATATTTTTTGTGTCGCGGAAGCAGGATTCGCGGCGCTCCCGATTTGGTTTCCACCGCCTCGAAGCAGGCCCTGTAAAGCAGCATTGACAACATTGAGCTTGTCTGTCAAGTCATCAATAGCTTGTTGCATGGCAGTCACCCTGTCTGCCTCTTGTGCCCTGTAAGCTAAATCCTCGGCACGCTCCTGTTGGAGTCCCTCGAATTTGCCAAAAATTTTGACTGCCTCTGTGGCTGCCGTTTGCTGGTCTCCCTCGGAGTCACGGCTGATGTTTTATGTCAACTTCGGCCTGGAGCACCCGGCAGTCCAGGTCGTCCAACCTTTGCCCTAGGCTGGTTCTTAGTTCAGGCACCGTATCCACGATGGGCCGTAATCCGTCAACCGTCTGTTCAAGGGCCGCAATGCGGTCCCCGTGATCACCATGGTCAGAAATGGTGGTAATGGCAATGCATTCCCTCGTCTGATGTCGAGCCTAGGCTCTGATACCAATTGTTATGCAGCGCCTTCCTGAGATTCCTTGGAAGGGCGACGTAAGGCTAAGTAACTGATGTCAGTGTAGTTATTGTCCGCCAACTGAGGTCTCTTCCGTACGCTAGACTAGATTATCAGTGTCATACGGGAAAACCAATGTCAAGAGCAATTGAGAGAACAGAAATGAGAATTGAGAATGAGAGAAAGCTTGATTGCATTAATGAAAGCTATTACAGAAAGCAACACGGTGTCGAGGGGGAGAGACACCAGTACAGAGAATTGTTTGCTTGCTAGAAAGTTTGATTACTTGATCCCCCCTAATAATGCTTAAAAAAAATAAACCAAAGCTATAAGACTAGACTTGACTAAGCTAGAGAAACATAATGGAAGTACATGAAATAAAACTACTCTATGTTTACAATGAAAAGGACTTAGTTTTCTACAATGCAGAAACAGGTCCGTTGTCAGCAGCAGCGTCTTTGACATCACGGTCGGCGCACGGGGCGTTGTCTGCGCGCGCAGCACTGTTGGCATTTGCCTGCGGCTGGGCGCTGGCGAGGGATATCGGTGGGGCGACAGAGGCACATGCGCGCTTGTCACTTGGCGCGGCCAAGACCACGGGGCCGTCCGTGGCGCTAGGCATTGGGAGGCTTGCTAGGACGCCACGGGGGCGCCCAAGGGGTCATGGGGCATGGCTGGAAAGCCGCCCATGACAGTTGATACACCCTCTCAAAATGGAGTTGTTGCGAGGAAGAATAGGCATCTACTTGAGACAGCTCGAGCACTTTTGTTCCAAATGAAGGTTCCTAAACAGTTCTGGGTTGATGCGGTTTCTACGGCTTGTTTTCTGATTAATCGCATGCCATCTAGTGTACTCGATGGTAATGTGCCTTATAGTGTTCTTTTTCCAAACAAGTCATTATTTCTGGTGGAACCTAAGGTTTTTGGAAGCACATGTTATGTTCGAGATGTTCGACCATCTCTTACCAAGTTGGATCCCAAGGCTGTGAAATGTGTTTTCCTGGGTTATTCTCGCCTTCAGAAGGGTTATCGATGTTATTCTACTGAACTTGGCAAATATTTAGTGTCAACTGATGTAGTATTTTCAGAGACTATACCATTCTTCTATGCACCTCCCATTTCTATAAGCCAGGGGGAGGAAGATGAGTGGCTAGTATATCAGGTTACTCGTACTTTGATAGAACAATCAGATGATACTCTTCGATCTCCCAGTTCTTCTATTGAGCACCAATCGACTATTATGCCTTCAGCACCTGCTCCAACTGTGTTAGCAAAACCTCCAATTGTTCAAGTTTATTCGCGAAGGCGAGAGACAAATGATACATGTCCCGCACCAGTTCCTGCATCATCTGATCCTCCTTTGCCTAATCCTCTAGATAACCTTGACCTTCCTATTGCTCTTCGCAAAGGTACACGTACTTGCAAATCGACATATTCTGTTGCTAACTTTGTTTCCTATGACCACTTATCCTCTACGTCTAGATCTATGATTGCTTCTCTAGACTCCATCTCCGTACCCAAAACAGTAAAGGAGGCTTTGAATCATCCCAGATATTCTGATGCAATGCTTGAGGAAATACATGCTTTAGAGGATAACCACACATGGGATTTGGTAGATTTACCAAAGGGAAAGAAACCAGTGGGATGCAAGTGGGTCTTTACAGGTAAAGTTAATCCAGATGGTTATGTGGCAAGACTTAAGGCCAGACTTGTAGCGAAAGGGTATGCTCAGACTTATGGGGTGGATTATTCTGACACCTTCTCCCTGGTTGCCAAACTCACTTATGTCCGCTTATTTATTTCCCTAGCTGCGTCCGAGAATTGGCCTTTACATCAGTTGGATATAAAGAATGCATTCCTTCATGGTGATCTTTAGGAGGAAGTGTATATGGAGCAACCACCCGGTTTTGTTGCTCAGGGGGAGTATGGGGAAGTCTGTCATTTGAAGAAGTCCTTGTATGGATTGAAGCAGAGTCCACGAGCTTGGTTTGGCAAGTTCAGTGAGGTAGTTCAGGAGTTTGGGTTGAAAATGAGTAAGTGCGATCACTCAGTCTTCTATCGGAAATCAGCAGCTGGAACTATTCTCCTTGTTGTATATGTTGATGATATTGTTATCACAGGAAGTGACTATGCGGGGATTTCTTCCCTCAAGTCTTTTCTACATACTAGGTTTCATACAAAGGACTTGGGCCAATTGAAATACTTTTTGGGAGTAGAAGTAAATAGAAGCAAGAAGGGAATTCTTTTGTCTCAGAGAAAGTACATTCTTGACTTGCTTGCAAAAACTGAAAAGTTGGCAGCTAAACCTTGCAGTACTCCAATGGTTCCTAATATGCATCTTATGAAAGATGATGGTGATCCTTTTGACGATCAAGAGAGATACAGGAGGTTAGTTGGAAAATTAAACTACTTCATTGTGACTCGTCCAGATATTGCTTTTGCGGTAAGTGTTGTTAGCCAGTTCATGTCTGCACCAGCGGTCAAACATTGGGCAGCTTTGGAACAGATTTTGTATTACTTAAAAGGAGCTTCTGGACTTGGCATATTATATAGCAGTCACAATCATACTCGTATTGAGTGTTTTGTAGATGCTGACTGGGCTAGATTGAAAATTGATAGAAGATATACTACAGGTTATTGTGTCTTTGTTGGAGGAAACCTGGTATCATGGAGGAGCAAGAAGCAAAATGTTGTATCTCGATCCAGTGCAGAATCCGAGTATAGAGCTATGTCACAGTTTACATGTGAGATTATGTGGATACATCATCTGCTGACTGAAATTGGGTTAGAGCATCCAATACCAGCAAAACTCTGGTGTGACAATCAAGTTGCCCTCCATATTGCTTCAAATCCGGTGTATCACGAAAGAACTAAGCATATTGAAGTTGACTGCCATTTTATTCGTGAGAAGATTTAGGAGAACTTGATCTCCAATGGCTACGTGAAGACAGGAGAGCAACCGGCTGATTTGTTCACAAAGGCGTTGAATGGAATTCGAGTTGATTACCTTTGTAACAAGCTGGGCATAATCAATATCTATGCTCCAGCTTGAGGGGGAGTGTTAGATAATGAATGTAGACATAATCTGAATGTAGACATAATCTTATGTAATATACATAGCTAGCATAATTATAGGCATTCACAGCAGATTTATAGGATTTCCTTTTTTATTCTTTCCATAGTTAGGGCTCTATGTACTTGTATATATACTTGTTACTTCTTAAATACAATACAAGAGAGATTTCTCTATTGTATCTGTACTTTACACTTCTCAAGGCATTTGACCATGTCAGTTGTACTATAAAATTAGAACTAAAGACAATACCTATTGCAAGTGGCGTCTGATTTTTCTTTCCACTATCTGCAAACAATCATAATACTGTCAATTAAGTGATAAACGCGATATATAGATGCTGAGGTACATAAAGTAAACCTGACTGGAATTAGGAAAAAATTACAAAACTGTGGTGAGATGAATGGAGGTATGGGAAAATAATAGATATGAAAAGCACACACTATAAGGAAGAAGCACACAGTCAGAAGAAAACCTAGGGATACCTGAAAAAACATACCATGGAAATCTACAAACTAATCATAAGAATTTTAGTAAATCACATTGCCTTACACTTTGTTCCTAGTTCACTTTTATGTTAGCAAGTAATTGCATAATGTGTTTTATTAGGTATATCCATTGAATCAAACGCCTCCAGCATCTACGCATGCAATAGGATGAGATTAGAAAGACCCCTGTAAGCATGGATAGACCACCTATCAACATGGCCATGCAATCTGTAGAACTAGAACAAGCAATGTTTTAGACCATGACAAAAGATTCATCAACTGAAATTTTAAGGTCTCGCAAATCAATAATAGTAAACAGGAAAAGATACTAACTTTTTTCACTCAGCAGCAATAAAAATAAACAGAAACGGTTAAGGAAAAACCCCCAAAACCTCGATCTTCGTATATTTGCTGTAGAGCTTCACATAGAGCGTCTCTATCTGAAACCAAATTCCAAAAAATTAGGAAAAAACAGTAAAACTGAAAAGAAAAAAATTAGTCTTGATAACCCTAACTTAGTATAAGGGTTTATTGGTGAAATTGGACGGAGAAAATAGAACATCTCAAGTTGAATTTAGGAACAAAACCTGTGGTACTGAAGCCGACGTAGAAAAATTTGAGGGAATAGAATGGAGGTGTTGTTCAGTTCAGCTTCCCATACTGACAATTTCGAATCACAAACTCACAAGCTTTGGCGGGAGAAATGGGAAATTCCAATTTGGAAGATGAATTCTTGGCTCTTGCCAGCACAGAATGCAGATGTTTAAACTTTAAAGCCACTTTAATTTCTAAGATTTTTCAGCTTCCACAAATCATTATAATGCAGAATCTTAGCCAGTCAAATAAGGTTAAAACTTCAGTGACAGAGTTTATCACCATTCCTTATTAATAATGCAGTATCTTAGCCAATCGAATTTTAGACTGGACCTTCCTTGCTTCCTGCGAAAGTCCAGAACTACGAAGACCATCAACAACAAATCGTTTGTCTGATTTAAGAATTCTCATGCCACCTCTAATACACGATAGTAGTAACTTAGATGCAGCACGAAACCTCCCAGCTTTGCAAAGACCGTGCACTATGGTAGAGTAAGTAACAGAATCCTTCACATCCATTGACTCAAACATCTGCAAAGCATGATCAAAGTGACCAGCTTTACACAACCCGTTGATAAAAGAATTCCATGCGACCAAGTTAGAATCAAAACCCATCATACTCATACTGTTCAAATGTTGCAGGGCCTCTTTGAAATTGCCAGTCCTGCACAAGCCATCAATCAAGATAGCATGGGTGTACTTGTCAGATTCCAAACCTTCTTTTTCTGCCTCGTATAACAACTTATAAGCATTATCCAGCTGACCTTCCTTACAATATAGATTAACAATGGTATTAAAAGACACAGTATCAAGGCTAAAGCCACTTGTAATAATATAGCCCAGGTACTCGCTGGCCTCAGTTATCCTCCCAGTTTTAAGTAACATACTTGCCACTGTACAGTAAGCAAAGGTATCATACGTGTATCCTTTCCTTCTCATCTCCGCAAAAATTTTAAGGCCTTCTTCAAATTGTTTACATCTGAAGCAACATTTCATTATTGTCGTATAAGTGATGGCATTCGGGATATGACCCGATTCGACCAATTCAGTGAGGAACTCTCTTGCAGCTTTTCCTCGTCTTGACTTGCACAACCCATGAATAAGAATGTTGTAAGTTACTAACTGAGGGATAAATCCATGACGCTTTAAGCTCCTAAATAACATTAGGGCATTCTCCGTATATCCATTCATACAAAGACCATTAATTAGAATATTGAATGTTGCTGGATGAACAGAAATATCTTTTAAAAGAATATCTTGAAAAACCCTGTACGCTTCATCTGGCTTTCCCAATTTTAAGAAGCAATGCATTAATGTGTTGTAACTCCAAATATCAGGAAGAATACTCATCTCAAGCATTTCATCAAACAGATCAAGACATCGAGACAACAGGCAATATCTTGTAGCTCCAGCAATCAAAGTGTTATATGTAATAACGTTAGGGTTAATTCCAGCCTCCTTCATCCTATGCAGGACGGAATAACCAGCATCTATGCCAACAAAGCGGCAATATGCAGCAATCAATGTGTTGTAAGTGACAACATCTGGTTGTACTCCAATTATTATTGCATCAACTATAACAGCTTCAGCTTTCTCCAATTGTTTGGCTTTACAAAGAGATGCCACGCAAACATTCATTAACCTTGTTGATAATTTATCTTTGATGCTCCACATCTAATCCAACAGCTTAAACCTGATATCTGAAGCATTTTTCGAGTAAAAGTAAGAATTTTTTGAAGAACAGTTGAGCATTTTTTGACTAAAAATTATCAGACAAATACTTCGCAGATATCAAACGTTTTTATAAAGTACAAAAGAATAACATCTTCCTTTATAATAAGCATCCTTTCTGTTCAAGCTGACATGACACAGTGCAATATGAAATCGCTGTTTGAAATTCGTTATTCTGAATAATTAATTCTGATGAGAACATATAAAATGCATAAAATGATCAATGCATATGAAAAAACAAAATTGCAAACACAAAATCACCTATTGGCACACAAAAATAACCCATAACTGGAAAGAATAAATACCTTAAATACAATGAACTCTGTTTCAATGGAGCAGAAAAAATGGGTCAAAAATAATCAATAGCCTTAACCAGACGGCTATCAAGCAAGAAATGAGAAGAAATTTCAAACAGCTCTCCTTGCCAGAAACAGTTTCTGAACAACAGTTGCTGCCGGTAGCAACTAGGGCTGTGCACGGATGGGATCAGATTTAGTGCATTTCGGATTGGAATTCTAAAAAATGCAATGAATTCGATCCGAATTATATCGGATTTTAAAGTTTGGATCGAATCGAATTTCGAATGTATTATTATGTCTCAAAGTTAACTAATATATATATTTTCTTTGTAAAGAAGGGAATACATTAATAAAAATTGATGTTTATGCAACGAGAGTATTATGGTGTTAATATAGCTAAATCTAGCAACTGTAAACGTAATAACTTGGAGTTTGATGTAAAGTAAGTAACGACTATCCGAAATTAAAGTGTATTATTTATATATGTCCTATTAATTTCGAATTTCGGATCGGACTAAAATATATCAATACTAATCCGATCCAAAATTCAAAATTTTAATAAAGACAATCTGGTTTGGATTTCGGATATCCGATCCAAATGAAAAGCCCCAGCAGCAACACCACCTGAAATTTCAAAAGACTTTCGACGAGTTTTAGCAGAAAACATCCTAAAGTATACCTAAAGGTGAATTACATCCTCAAAGTATCAAAAAGTGAACAAGTTTGGTCCAAAGTTAGTGTTTCCTGATTTGGGAATGAGCTTGTCATCGATGGGAAGATGGGAGTTGAGTATTTCCTTGTTTTTTTGCACCGTTGGTTTTACACGGAAATACTCACTTTGGATCAAATTTGTTAATTATTTTATAATTTAAAGGCTGGTTATTTGGTTCATGGAAAAGAGAAAATAATTAGGGGATATGTGAAGTTATTTAATTTTGTGTTTGGTGAATTTTTTATTTATAAGAATTACTTATAAAGTCATCCTTCAAATTTGTTTCAAAGTTAAAAAAAAAGTCAAAATTAAAATTAAAAAAATAAAAAATATTTACGTAATAAAATTGAGACATGGATCGAGATGGGATGCTAATTTCTATGTGAATGATAATGGGTGGCAAAAGATGGCACATAGATAAATTATGTAACTGACTTTTTAGGATAATTTTTAAAATATTTTTATTATAATAGTGGAGGGAAAAAGGAAAAAATAGGGGGGAAATTATAGTGTAGGGAATTCTCACTACCAAATTAAAAATAGCTAACTAATTGACCTACTAAAATGTGAGATTGAAAGAAAATAGTATTTGAATTAAGTTGAAAAAAGTGTTTGAAAAAATAAAATTGTATTTGGACTTATATTTTACTTGAAAAAATAATACAATTTTATGAAGGAAAAATATTATTTACGTAAAAAAAGTGATAAACTTTTCAACTTGAGAATCATCGAAACTTCAGTCCAATATATAATCAAAGAATATTTGGACTGTTATAAATAGTTTGTACATTGGATGCTACATTGGATGTCCATGTTGTGAATAGCTTAAAGATTAAATCTCCTATTTTATGTCCATCATTTTTACTTTTTATGCCTATAAAAGGCTATGTAATTGCAATGGAAAGATACACCAAAGTGAAAGAAGAAAAGACTTCTTCCTTCTTTCTATCTCTTCTTATTTACATTTTATTGCATTGCTTTTATTTTATAACACGTTATCAGCACAAAGCTCTAATTTCATTCTTAACTCCCGCTAAGTTGAGCCATATTTATTAATTTTTCACTATGTCAAATTTATCAAAACTTGAATTTGTGGAACTTGACATCACCGGGAGGAACTATTTATCATGGGTCCTTGATACTGAAATTCACCTTGACGCTAAAGGTCTTGGAAATACTATTATACAAGGAAATGAAGCATCAAATCAGGATAAAGCGAAGGTCGTGATTTTCTTTCGTCATCATCTACATGAAGGGTTAAAAACTGAATATTTAACCGTAAAAGATCCACTTGAATTATGGATTAATTTGAAGGATCGATATGACCACCTAAAACTTACGGTATTACCGAAAGCTCGGTATGAGTGGATACATTTAAGGCTGCATGATTTTAAAACCGTAAGTGAGTATAATTTTGATATCTTTAAAGTAAGTTCTCTATTAAAATTATGTGGAGACACTATCATAGATGAGGACTTGTTGGAAAAAATATTTTCTACTTTTCACGCTTCAAATGTGGTGCTACAACAACAATACCGTGAAAAAGGTTTTAAGAAATATTCTGAGTTAATCACATGCCTACTTGTGGCAGAGCAGAATAATACTCTATTAATGAAAAATCATGAAGCTCGTCTCACTGGGTCAGCTCCATTTCCGGAAGTGAATGTTGTAGCAGCATATGATAAGTTTTAAAGAAAACAAAATAATTATTGTGGTCATGGACATGGTCGTAAACGTGGACGTGGCAGGGGACGAAACAATTATCGTCATTATGGTGTAAATAAATTGGAAAACAATAAGGGTTCTCAAATTAATCATTCAAAAAGTAAAACTAGTATGTGTCACCGATGTGGTATGAATGGTCATTGGGCATGCATTTGTCGTGCGCCAAATCATTTTGTCAAACTTCATCAAGCCTCCCTCAGAAAAAAAGAAAATAATGTAAAGGCACACTTAACCTTTTAAAATAATGATGATGAAGCAGGTCCCTCAAACAAATATGATTCTAAGGCACATCTTGCATATAAAGATGATGATTTTGGAGGCCTAACAAATATTACTCATTTAGAAGCTGGAGACTTCTTTGAGGATATTGACTGAAGAACTAATCATCTTACTGGGGAATGAAATTATAAAAATTGTTATTTTTATGTTTGCAACTAGTTTATTTTTCTTGAGTGTATTTTCCTAATGCATCATGTGTTGCTAATTTCTACATTTCTAATGTATTTCTTAATCATATTTCTTATGATGTATTTTTTGTTTTTTTTTATGAAGGGTATGAAAATTCTCCAGTCTTCAGTTGGACTCAAGATTAATAAAGATAATACATGTCTTCTGGATAATGCTGCAACACATACTATTCTAAAAGATAAGAGATATTTCTCTTATTTGGTAATAAAAGAAGCGAATGTTAATACAATATCCGGTAGTACAAGATTAATTGAAGGTTCTGGAAGAGCCAATTTATTACTACCAGGAGGAACAAATTTGGCTACTGATGAAGCACTGTATTGTAATAAAACTCAAAGAAACTTATTAAGTTTCAAAGATATTAGACAAAATGACTATCATATTGAAACTACAAATGATGAAAAGATTGAATATCTTTATATTACTGCAATAATGTCCGGTAAAAAATATGTGCTTGAAATATTACCTGTTCTTTCCTCCGGCTTATACTACACAAGTATTAGCAGGATTGAAACACATGACGTAATAAACGAGAAGTTTACTAATCAAGATAATTTTATTATTTGGCATGACCGGTTGGGCCATCTTAATTCTAATATGATGTGTAAAATAATTAAGAATTCACATGGACATGCAATGAAGAATCAGAAGATTTTTCAATTTAAGGAATTCTCTTGTG